GCATTTATATCATTATTCGATACGCATTATTTTGCAATAGGAATGAAAGTGCGTAATCTTTTAAGTGCCGGTGCGTGATAGGAAGGAATTTTAACCAATACAATTCCATGTGAACAAACGGAAACAGGAAAATACCCTGGAGTTTATGTTTTCCCACCGGTAAAGGGTCTCAAAAATAGACGACCTGTAACTGGCTTAGACTTTGCATTATTATATCCAAGCTTTATCATGACATATAATCTCTTACCTGATAAAATCATTTTATCTCGAGAGCGTGCTGAATCTCTAAAGGAAAGTGGTAAAAGGCTTAATGAAATTAATTTTAAATACAATGGTCGGGATGTTCTCACATGATCTATAGAGCATGGAAATCAAGCTGAAATGAAAGACTTTTATCCAAAAGTATTAGAGGAGTTGCTTATTAAATGAAATTCTCTAAAAAGACATCTTGCTCCATTAAATGATAGAAAAGAAGAATTAGAAAAGAAAATTAGTTTGGTAAAAGCAAGGGCAAGAACGTTATAAATGCTTTAAAATCTGAATACTCTTCAATTTCCTTTATTGGCGCCTGTCTAGACGCAAAATCATTCACTTTAAAAGTGTATATGAATGTGTTTTACGGTGAAGCTAGGAATATAGTCAAACCTTGATATAGCGAACCCTTGATATAGCGAATTTTTAAATCAAATATATTAAAATTACCTTTACTATAGTGAACTAGCCAATTAAATTCTTTAAAAAATTCGTTATAAGCTTATAAAGAATTTGATATTCAGATCCTAGAATTCGTTATATCAAGAGTTCACTGTAGTGGGTTCACTTTCTTCTTGCGAGCATTAGCAAGCAGGGTAACATCAGCTGGTCAGTGAAATATCAAGCTTATTGCCGATCTTATCAGAAGTAAAAGTTTCAGTGTAAAATATGGGGATACAGATTCCTTATACCTTGTCTGTCCAGAAGAATGCTTCAGAAATGTGATGAGACATATGATAATGGTAATGGGATCTCGAAAGAAGAATATTGGTCTAGAATAGTGAATATCTCTATAGAAGTAATAGAAAGACTTCGTGATGAAGTTAATGACTTTCTTAGAAATGATAATGGATCAACTTATCTCAAAATGGCATATGAGGAAGTCTTATTTTCAGTAGTATTTACTGGAAAGAAAAAATACTATAGCATCTCACATAGAAGAGAGTCTAACTTTAATAATAAGCTTTTTATTCGAGGGGTTGAGATTGTAAAGCGGAGGCAGTCTAAATACTTTCGTGAGGTAGGTAAGAAGGTAATGAATGAATCTATGAAGGTGGATAATTCATGTATCTTACATCAGATTGTAAAAGACATGTTCAAAGAGATCATAAATGATATTTTACAGATAGATCTTAATGGGATGGTTAAAACTGCTGTGTGAAAGCCTGATAAAAATAATAAGAGTGTCTAGCATTTCATTTCACGAATGCGAGATAGATATTCCTGTGAAGAAGCAGATACCAAACAACGCATAAAAAAGGGCTTAACACCTGAGCCTTATCTTTATGAAATCCCAGAACCAGACGAACGCTTTGAGTATATTATAGCTGAGAATGATTTATCATGCCTAAGTGCCTTTAGCCAGTAGGTAGACGATAAAATGGAGTATCCAAAAGTAGTAAGGCGATTAGGTAAAAAGATCGATATCAGCTATTATCTGAAAACTGTTGTCGGCCTCTATGCACGATTTATTAATTATGATGAAAGTTTCCAACCATTATATGAAATTATATTGGAGGCCTTAAAAAGTTAAAAGATGGTAATAAAGTAGGTGACAATAAAGTGGATAACAGTGTGATGGATAAAGATGACCTAAACGAAGATGAAGAGGATGAAAACAAAATCCCTATAAGAAATTAAAATAAGGAAATGATACGTTTTTTATAAGGTTTGTATACGTAATTAATGATTCTATATCAA